GACTGTACCATGAGAAATGCCAGCCTACAGTGTGACTGTACTATGAGAAATGCCAGCCTATAGTGTGGCTGTACCATGAGAAATCCCAGCATATAGTGTGACTGTACTATGAGAAATGCCAGCCTACAGTGTCACTGTACCATGAGAAATGCCAACCTACAGTGTGACTGTACCATGAGAAATGCCAGCCTACAGTGTGACGGCACTACGGGAAATGCTAGCCTACAGTGTGACTGTACCATGAGAAATACCAGCCTATAGTGTGACTGTACCATGAGAAATGCAAGCCTATATTGTGACTGTACTATGAGAAATACCAATCTATAGTGTGACTGTACCATGAGAAATACCAGCCTATAGTGTGACTGTACCATGAGAAATGCCAGCCTATAGTGTGACGGCACTAGGGGAAATACCAGCCTACAGTGTGACTGTACTAGGAGAAATGCCAGCCTATAGTGTGACTGTACCATGAGAAATACCAGCCTATAGTGTGACTCTACCATGAGAAATGCCAACCTATAGTATGACTGTAATATGAGAAATACCAGCCTACAGTGTGACTGTACCATGAGAAATACCAACCTACAGTGTTACTGTACTATGAGAAATGCCAGTCTATAGTGTGACGGCACTATGACAAATGCCAGTCTATAGTGTGACGGCACCATGAGAAATGTCAGCCTATAGTGTGACTGTACCATGAGAAATGCCAGCCTATAGTGTGATTGTACCATGAGAAATACCAGCTTATAGTATTACTGTACCATGAGAAATGCCAGCCTACAGTGTGACTGTACTATGGGAAATACCAGCCTACAGTGTGGCAGTACTATGATAAATACCAGCCTACAGTGTGACTGTACCATGAGAAATTCCAGCCTACAGTGTGGCAGTACTATGATAAATACCAGCCGACAGTGTGACTGTACCATGAGAAATGCCAGCCTATAGTGTGACTGTACCACGAGAAATGCCAGCCTACAGTGTGACTGTACCATGACAAATACCAACCTACAATGTGACTGTACTATGGGAAATACCAGCCATACAGTGTGACTGTACTATGAGAAATACCAACCTACAGTGTGACTGTACTGTGAGAAATGCCAGCCTACAGTGTGACTGTACCATGAGAAATACCAGCCTATGGTGTGACTGTACTATGAGAAATGCCAGCCTACAGTGTGACTGTACCATGACAAATACCAGCCTACAATGTGACTGTACTATGAGAAATGCCAGCCTACAGTGTGACTGTACCATGAAAAATACCAACCTACAATGTGACTGTACTATGAGAAATGCCAGCCTACAGTGTGACTGTACCATGAAAAATACCAACCTACAATGTGACTGTACTATGGGAAATACCAGCCATACAGTGTGACTGTACTATGAGAAATACCAACCTACAGTGTGACTGAACCATGAGAAATGCCAACCTACAGTGTGACTGTACCATGAGAAATACCAGCCTACAGTGTGACTGTACCATGAGAAATGCCAGCCTACAGTGTGGCGGTACTATGAGAAATGCCAACCTATAGTATGACTGAATATATTTCCCTCTTAACTTAATAAAAGTCATTAAAGTGAAAGTATTTTATGTCCAGAGAGGAGAGAAAGCCAAATCCAAGCTGATGCTGAATGCACAACTTACTGGTAACAATATTGGTATAACGCTGCCTGGAACAGATCTTAGTGCCTGATTGACAGCTTAGAGGGGCTGTCTAGAAATGTGTTGATGCAGGATGATCGCCGCCGATTGACAATCATGCAATTATGAGGCTTACAGTCACCCTTTAATGAATTATTCTCCCACCTTAGACCTGTCTAGGACCAAGTCATACATAGAGGGTTTTAATATATGTCACACGGCTTGGAATAAGAAAAGAAAAGGGATTTCGCTCATTTTTATCATTTCTGTTGACGTGGGGCACAATACATATTTTTCTCTGTTAATGCACCTGCTGGAACAATTGGAATTAAAAATGATTACTCTCTAGAGCAAAAATCTCAAATCTTTTCTGTAATCATGGCCATATCATGTGGGGCCAATTTTCACTGTACAACTACTTTGTGAAAACGAGGGTTAAACTAAGCCAGTGAGCTGGAGTCCTACCCCAGTCATTCCGTATTTACACCTGCAGATGTGGTTTGTGTTTTGTTTAAAATTACTCAAATAATCTTTATAATGCTATAAGCTTTTCATCTGTGAATTGTGCAAAATAAAAATTTCACAAAACAAAACAAAAAAAATCAATGCTTCCAGCTGCTTGCCTGATTCCGCTATCAAAATGTCAGAGACATAAATAAATAATATAATGCTTTATATTAGCTCTGTCTTGCTGTTTCCCATGTACTTTTGCTAAATTAATAAATTAAGCTTTTTGTTTTGAAGTTGTTTTTCCAGCCAGTAGCGCTCATGTTCGGAGGGACAATCTATTTTGGATTTTATGTTTATATATGTCTATAATCTTTTATATTGGGACGTTCCAACCAGGCTGTTTGAGCACCATTGTGTCTTTAATTATATTTCCCATTATGCAGAGTCAGCCTCAAGGTTTGCTGAGCATCATGGGACATATCGTTTCTTGATACATAGCCCAACTGTCCTGAATCTGGTGGGATAGTCCTGATTTCATTCCCTGTTGTCCTCACAGAGGCACAAGAACCATGCAGAGTTTTTTCAGGATTCTGGACAGCGGCAGCCCTGAGAGGAACCGGACAGGAAGCTGTCAGTCAGCCTCCCAGTGTTGGGGGAGGTGTACGGATATCTCGATACACGTTGAGCCGCGTTGAGCCATCACTTGTAAAAGGAAGGATTACCATAGTAACCTGGGCAGGACTGCGACTCGACACTCAAATGCAACATGCCCACTGTTTCTTGTTAAGTGATACAAATTGTTGCAGCCTTTTAAAGTCCTCACTGGATGCCTAAATATAGTACAAATCTTACTTTTAATCAAGTCTGCAGCTGGCTTTGCCCCTGATCTGCCTCTTTGGCTGACATTATCAGAAGTGGTGGTTTGAGCCAATCACAATGCGTCCCTATTGGATTGGGTGAGCTTGTAAAGGGGAAGATCAGTGGCAGAGCCAGCACAAGTCAAACAGAGCCTTGATCAATCTGCATCTCCTTATAGAGATACATTGAATCAATGCACCTCTATTAGGAAAGTTCAGTGTCTGCATGGAGAGGGTGGAGACACTGAATGTCAGTCACACTGTTCAGCACTGCCCCAATAGCCATCTGAGGAGTGGTCAGTGGAGGTATCCCTAGGCTGTAATGTAAACACTGAATTTTCTATTAAAAACTGTGTTTGCAGCAAAAAGCCTTAAGGGAATAATTCTACTCATCAGAACAACTACAATAAGCTGTATTTGTTCTGGTGACTATAGTGTCCCTTTGATATTAAAGACCGTAATATAGTAAAGTCGGTTGTGGTGTGCCAAAACCAACATACGGGCAAACCTGTAAATACGCTCTGACCTTCTGTTCTTTCTTTTTTGATTCTTTACCCTTTCCTTATAGACTGTAAGCTCGTTCTAGAAGGCCCTTCTTCACCTCTTGCCTCTGTTAATATTGTGTAGGTCAATTACTTGTGAAATATCACCATTCTATAATTGTATCGCGTAAGGAATATGTTGGCGCTATATAATAATAATAATACAATAATCTGTAATTACATAAATGTTACTGATTTACATATATATTACGTTTATTGATTTCTATACATGCAATCTTCAATGACTGATATGTATGATATGTGATGATTTATATATATTACCTATAAATTCAATATTGACAATTACTAATTAGGGACATTTCTTAGAAACGATGATAGAATTTTTCTAACAGGCCGGTGACAGATTTTGGGTCATTTGTACCCACCTGTTAGGCTTCTCTCAGAACGCAGCCTGTAATATGTCATTCATTGGATATTTGGCAGCTTGCCGGACAAAGAAAATGAGAATGTTTTTAGCAGTGATAGAGAGAAGGTCAGACAAGTCATTGTTTAAATCCTTTATAAATCAGGTATCATCAATACATACTTTATGCCGCTTGGGATATTTTCACTCAATCATTGTAGAGAGTGTAGTCAAGCCTATAATACAGGGGTGTCAGGTGCACACTAACATTAATAGAATTCCTTCCGACTTGCGCTAGCACTGATCCCCCTTTTAACTCTCTGGGATCCCCCCCCCCCCTAAATCTAGGCACATAAGGTGCTTGTGGTCCGTTCTGTCTGATCAGGGAAACCCAATATCAGACACATTCTTTGAATAATACAATTGCCTGTTTGATGAAATAAAATTAATTTTTTTTTACATAAAATATGTTTTGCAGGCGATAAAATCTCTGGACATATTCACAAAAAAATAATGTTATTGAGAACTGCCTGAGTTTCAAATCTCCAGAACTGGAAAAATAAATCTAGAGAACCCAATCCGGTGTCCATTGTTTGAGTTTATTTTGTGGAAAAAAAAAGTGTCACCCTAATGCAAATCACTGCTTAGCAAATACTCATCCATACTAAATGTTTTTTTAATAATTAAATTTTTTTATTTATTTCCCACCTTCAGCTCCTGCAATCACGCCCCCCTGACATTCACAGGTTTATTCACTACAGTGAGATCTCAATGTGAATTAAAAGTGAATTTTAGATATAATTGCACTGATGCCTCTCGTCTGCTCTCTGTAACCTTCTCCTTTGGCCTTACGCAATGGTCCAATCTAGCAACCCATACAGCGAGAAACACTCTTGATCTTGCCTTCACCAACCTCTGTACTGCCTCTAATCTCTCCAATATTCCCTTTCCTCTATCTGACCACCATCTCCTGACTTTTGACATTGGCATACCTAAGACCCAATTGACACCACCGTCTGAACATCACTCTCACAGAAACCTCCAATGTCTTGACTTAGAGCATTTCTCCACTAATCTCCAAACTCTCATTTTACCTATCTCAAACCTCACCTGTCCTAGTTCTGCAACCTCCTTCTACATTTCCACCCTCTCCTCTCAACTAGACATCATGGCACCTTGTACATTTAAACGCCGCAGGCCCCCCCAACAACCCTGGCACACCAAGCTCACTCGATACCTCCAAAAATGCTCCAGAACTTCTGAACGCTGTTGGAGAAAGTCTCACTGTGCATCTGACTTTCTCCACTATAAATTTATGCTGAGCTCATACAGCTTGGCTCTTTCCTCTGCAAAAGTTAATTACTTCTGTTACGGGCAAATACAAATATTACAAGTTTTAGAATGAAATCTTGTATTTCTTAAACTGTGTACTTTGTCTTTAAGAGATATTGCGAACTGACAAGGTGTTAGAAATGGAACATATTGTTTTTCATAGATGTTTCTTTAAGCAATAACCTCAGTGCATAATATATTTGCGCCATTTTGTCCCAGACGAATTACAATAACAATAATGCATAAACAAGCTTCAAGGCTATACTACGACACTTGCAGTACACAATATACTGTGGTAATCCCAAGTTAATGGAACTTCCCCCAAATCCGGGAATCTCCCACGAATGTACACTTACGACTTAGTATAAACAACAGATAACCTATTCAGACTTTAAGATGCCATCTTGAACTAAGTCAGGAAAATTTCCATGACGTATACACCCTTTAGTTATGGCCTTGTATGTTTGCCAAGTTAAGGGAGGTCCTAAATTGAATAAAGTAAAAGAAGTGCTAATTTTTCATATAATAAATATGAACTACCGTAACCTTAAAATGGAGACACCTAAGGTATAAATAGGTGTACTTTTAAATGTTAAGATACAGAGGAGAGACTTGGAGACAGACGCTGCTCCATCTTAAAATGACAGAGAGGCTGACATGATGACATGTTCAGAAGGGTATGTTAACCTATTAATGATATTTGCAAACATGTAATTTAATCTTATAAACTCTGCTATAATGGAATTTATATTTTTATATAATAAATATCCAAAAAGACAATCTTGCTTCCAAGACAATCCTTATTTTATATTGTATTCTCAATTATTTATATATGTTAAATAGAGGATCTCTTACACTATATAAAATTATGGCTAAGATATCTGTATGGTTAGCCCTACTAAGTTCTATGCTTTAAGACATTATAGTGGTAAATAAGGGAACCACCAGCAGTTACACTTCAATACCCTCATAACCACACTCTGCCGCGAACCCAAACGACTATTTTACACATTTAACTCTCTTCTTCGCCCTGCTCTTCCTCCTCCACCTACTAACTTGACCGCCTCAGACTTTGCAACTCACTTCACTGACAAGATCTCTACAATCAGAGAAGAGATCTCTCATCTTTCTTCTTCCCCTTATACACAATACTTCCCCTAACTTCACTCCCTCTGTTGTTCTATGTTCATTTGCACCCGCTACATTGTAAGAGATTTCTGCTCTGCTCCGGTCCTCCCGCCCCACCACCTGCTCCCTAGATCCAGTTCCCTCACATCTCATCCATACTCTGTATTCTTCTCTTTCTCCACCTCTCACTAAAATTCTCAATCTCTCTCTCTGCTCTGGTATATTTCCATTGCCC